AAGACTGAGATTGGAGAAGAGAAAATGAAGCAGAAGTTTGTCTTGAGACCTTGTGTAAACCCAGGACTCTAAAAGTGCTGCATCCTTGTATAAGAAAGATTGGGAAAACTCAAGCCATCTGCCCCAAAAAGGGAAGATTCACTCTTCCCTGGACAGGAAAAATAAATATCTCTGGTACCCAATACTATACCACATATGCTTTCACTTCCACTGGGATGGCATAGGAATTCCCCAGCTTAGAATTAGGATATATCCTGAGCCCAGGGTATTGCTAGAGAATGAGACAGCAGTAAGTCAGTCTGGATTGCATCAGACAAAAAAACAACCAAAAGGCACACAGCACATGTTCAGGAAGAATCTAGGATGAGCAAGAAGCAGAAAGTATAGCTCACCAAAAAAAGCATAATTAAAATGTCTTGCATAGAAAGCATAAGTGAAGACTGACTCCGAAAAAAGAATCCCCACAGATTTCAAAATAAACAAATATTGTTGCTAAAAATGAGAGTCAGAACACTTGAAACTAAAAATTCAGTGGTTAGATTGAATAGCAGCTTAAATAGACCTTAAGGAAGAACAAGATTGTGTTTTTTTATGTGTGTCGGTGTTTTGCCTGGGTGTGTATGTATTCACCATGTGTGTGACTGTGTCCACAGAGGCAAGAAGAAACCACTGGCTCCCCTGTGGATACTGGGAGCCAAACCTGGATCCTCTGGAAGAGCAGCCACTCCTTTTCACCACTGAGCGATCTTTCCAGTCCCAAGAAAATTTTGCTAAAGGCTCTGAGAATATTTTTCCAAGGCTGCAAAGGCCATAGAGGAATGCCACTCAGAATTCCCCTCAAGAGAATCTGTTGAGAAGAATGATTAACAACCCCAGCTACTGAGCTTTTGAGCTTCCAATTTATTTACTCTGATGTCCGGTCTCAGGGGCACTAGGATCAATATGAAACTCTTCCCCTGGGTAACTCTTGCTAAGTGATCCCACAAGCCCAGACCATCCAACATGCACTGCAGTTGTCTCTTGCTTCCCACCGTTCTTTTTAGCTCCTCTTTCCCCAAAGTCAATCTTGCACAGTGGCCAGAAGCCCAAAAAACCTTCCATTCTAGTTCATTTGTTACTGCTGTGATAAAACACCATGACAAAAAAGCAACTTGGAGAGGAAAGGATCTACTTGGCTTACACTACTCCATCCTGGTCCATCATCGAAGAAAGCCACGGTAGGAACTCAGGAAAGGAACTGAAGAGGAAACCATGGAGGAATGCTGCTTACTTGTGTGCTCCCATGACTTGCTCAGCCCAAGTGCCCAGAGGTAGCACTGTCCAACCCAAGTGCCCAGGGGTGGCACTGCCAAGGGTGGGCTGGGCTCTCTCACATCATTAACTAACAATGCCCCACAGGATCGCCTACAGGTCCATCTGATGGGGGCATTTTCTTCACTGAAGTTTTCTATTCCCAAATGACCCCAACCATTGTCAAACTGACAACTAACCAGCCCACCATCCCACCATCCCTATGGATTTCTTCTTGCTCCCTTTTTGCTCTCATTTCTTCCAACAAATGTCGTTCATAGTCTGATTTTACTTGTGCTTCTTAGGTAGTTCCAGCATACACACAAATAAACCTGATGTGACCACAAAATACTAAATTAGAACATGGGCAGAACCAATCAACATTTTCACAGCTTTTAATTCAACTTTTTTTCAGGATTTTCATACATGCATACTGTCTTTATATCATGTTCATATGTCCTCTTCCCTCTCTTTCCATGTCTCCTTACTTCCTCTCAAGTTCATGAGTTCTTTAATTATTATTGTTTTATATATATATATATATATATATATATATATATATATATACCATATCTATCCATCTATATATACACTAATGATGAAAGCAATTAACTCAAAAAAATCCATGTTAAAAAAAATTTAAAACTAAGCCCAAAGAAAGGAAGTAATAGGAATATGGAGTGAATGGGTGGGAAGGGATGGATACTTTAGATGGCTTGGTAACGACTGCCTTTATGGAGACATTTAGACAAACATGCAAGGAAACTTGGAGATACCAGTAATGTCCTTAATTAACAATAAGCACAATTGACTTACGCCTTGACTCCACGATGAGAGGCAGTTTATTACAGGTCTTAATAGCAGGTGTGTATACAGAATGGAAAAATCATGCCTCTCTCTAAGGGATAAGGTCATAGATACAGCAAGTGTCGTGTGAATAGTCCCCTGGGGAAAATGATGACAGAGTGTAGGAAGAGAGCTCATTCTCCTGGAAACTGCTCAGCGCTGTCACCTGGTTGCCCCATGAGATGCGGCATCTGCAGTTTGTTTCGGCCCACACAGCACTGCACCTCTTGGGAGAAGCAGGGCTGTCCTCCCTGTTGCCAAGGGGACCTTGAGCCGCTTCTAGTCTAGAGGAAGTCTTGCTCATCCCCTTCACACTTCACGCCTGTTGATCACTATGCAGGTGCCTCTGCCTCATCACTCAGATTTGCCATAAGCTGATTGTTCTCCACAGTCACAGCATGGCCACCAATGTAGGCCATCCGTCTTCACCCAGAATTTCCCTTGCCACAATTCTGTAGCTTCACTCATAGAATCCAGCTTTCCTCACTAGCGTCCTTTGGGAAATCCACATGCTTCCTAGCACATCATTCTCCTTCTGTAAGTGGTGCTTACCCACTCATGTCTTACCTATTTACTCAGTTTTATCTGATTGTGTCTCCTCTACCTCTTCAAACTATAATCTACATTTCGGCAAGAACCTTCTGTATCTTGTTTACTACCATATACCTAAACACCATCAATGTCCACTTTTCTTAGGATCTCTATTGCTGCAATGAAACACCATGACTAAAAGTGACCAAGAGCAACTTAGGGAGGAAAGGGCTTATTTTGCTTACACTTCCACATCCTAGTTCATCATTGAAGGAAGTCAGTCAGGAACCTAGATGTAGAAGTGGATGTAGAGGTCACGGTGCGACACCCCTTATGGTTTGCTCAGCCTGCTTTATGAATGTACCCAGGACCACCAACCAAGGGGTAGAATCATGCACAATGAGCTGGACCCTTTTACATCAATCATTAATTAAGAAAATACCCTGCAGGTTTGCCTACAACCTGATCGTATGGAGGCACTTTCCCAATTGAGATTCCATCCTCTCAGTTGCCTCTAAGATGGGTCAAGTTGACCTAAAAAAATAGCCAGTGTATACTGTGTTATAGGAACTTAAATATGTTCAAACAGATTAGGTAAACAATGAATGAATTGCTCCCTAAATGCTCAATGAATCTTCTTTCCATGTGAAGGCTAGAGGGAAGATCATTAGCACTAATGTCCACTCTTTAGTGTAATTCTTCCATTTTAGAGCCTGTCCATGACTGTAGAGATAATGTAATGCATATCTCTCATGTCCATTTTTCTCTGCTACATGAGAATCACACTTCTGCATGCTGGCCCCATGCCCAGATTCAACAGACTATACTACATTGATTTTAGTTGGGGCAAGATGCCAGGCAACGACCATTTGGGAGAAATTTCCCACCATAGGCAAAAAGAGCCACCTCATTTGCAAGTGTAAACTGCTCTCAGTGGCAGGCAAGCAGGGCTACATGGGCTCTATCTGAGAGAGCACAGTGGGAGAGCACACCTGGGCATTCTGGAACATGACCTCAGCAGCCCAAATTATTTCTTGTTCAAATGCCAACCCGAGAAACCTAGAAAATCCACTCACACAGCAGGAAACTTCTTGTTTACAGTGGCCAGTTTACAGCCCCCAATTAGTCCCTGCCTCCTTGAAGGGTTTGCTCTTTGGCATGTGCTTATTTCAACGTTTCCTAAAAGTTCAACAAACAATATCCATGCTATTTTATTCACCTTATTTTTGATTTCTTGCAAAAAAAAAGGGATGTTTAATTGAGAAAAGATGACCACAGATTGGAATTTTTCTATTAAATGAACATTTCTATGAAATGTCAAATTTTATTACTTAAGAATGGGCCGTTGTTTTCTAGCTACACAGAGTGGCAACTGAAGAAGCAAAAGGAAGACTGGAGCCTGGGAAAGTTTGTGAGCACATCAGTCAGTGTTCTTCGAGGAGAGAGAAAGAGAGAGAGAGAGAGCCAAGAGATAACTAGGAGATGCACGGGCAGACTCTGGAAGATAGACACAACTTTAGAGGAAAGGAGATTTATTAGAAGTTTTGTAATACAAGATTATTTAGTACAAGAAGTCTTGTAAAGGCTCTATGCAATCTGAAGACCTCTGAAGTTCAGTAACAAGGCTCAGTCCAGATTCTGAAAGCCCCCAAAGCAGGTGATGTCATGCTATGACCTGCAGTCAGAGGCTAGAGGCCTGGGTGCCCTAGGCACCGCTGGTAGAATACTCAGGCCTGAGGGCTTGAGATTCTGGGGTTCAGGTCATCAAATTCAGGTGAAGAAGGCTATTCCATTCTAGCAAAGAGAGAAAGATAGGAGAAGAGAGGAGAGAATATGAGAGAGAGAGAGAGAGAGAGAGAGAGAGAGAGAGAGAGAGGGAATATTTTCCTTTACTTGTTTGTTCTAGCAGATTGCATGTGACCATCCCCCATGTTAAGGACAGAAACCTCCCCTAGTCCACCCACTCATTCAAGTATCAAGTCTCTGCCTTCACAGCTTTCTTGCTCTATTTTTTAAATCTCTAGAGTAATATTTATTTTTAATTTCTAAAAAATTTCTTCTTCGAAAATGTCATGTATTGATGTAAAATGTATCCTGATCATAGACACCATCCTTCTTCCCCTTCACAGCACCCCCACAACACATCTCCTTCCAAACTTCATGCCCTGCCCCTTTTTTAAATGCAGTCAAATTTCAACTAAAATTAACCATCACTGAAACATGAGCTTTTCTTCTGGATAGGAAAGAGTCTTAGTTAGGGTCTCATAGTAAAGAGACACCATAACCACAGCAACTTTTATAAAGCCAAACATTTAATTAAGATGGTGACTTACAGTTTCAGAGGTTCAGTCCATTATCATCATGACAGAGAGCACAGCATGATGGAGGCAGACATAAGTGCTGGTTACATCTTGATCTGAAGGCAACAGGAAATAGATTGAGACACTGGGTAGTATCTTGAGCATATATAAGACCTCAAAGCCCATCTCCACAGTGACACACTTCCTCCAACAGAATCACACCTACTCCAACAAGGCCACACCTACTCCAACAAGGCCACATCTCCTAATAGTGCCACTCCCTTTGGAGTGCCACCTCCCATTTCCTTCCAACAACCACATTCCACTCCCTGACCCCCAAAGGCTTGTAGCCATATCATAATGCAAAAATGCATTAGGTCCAACTTAAGAAGTCTTCATAGTCTATCACACTCTTAACAATGTTTAAAAGGTTAAATTCAAAGTCTCTTCAAAAAGCAGATCACATACTTCTAACATATAATGGCAGAAGATATACATTACCATTCCAAAACATAGGGAAGGGAGCATAGTGAGGAAATGCTAGACCAAAGCAAGACTGGAAACCAGCTAGGCAAACTATAAACTCTGCATCTTCATGTCTGATATCAAAACACTTTTCAGATCTCCAACTCCTTTCAGCTTTGTTAACTGCAATGTAATTCTTTCTCATGCTCTGTTTCCACTCCCTGTTAGCAGCTTTCAGGTATCCCACAGCTCTGGCACCTCCAACATCTTGGGGTCTGCAAAGCAATCCAGGCTGCAACTTCACAGCTTCTAGGCCTCCATTCAGGGTCATCCCAGACATATGCCTGGCCTCAGCATCTTTCCTTAGCCTCAGAGGCAATTTCCACACACACACACACCCTTTTGGAATCCTTGACTCTAAAGCCTCAACCCCATGGCCAAAGCTGCCACGTTCTCCTACTTACTGGGGCTGGAACATGGCTCCCTTGTTCAATTACATCCTCAACAGCTTTCTGCTTTTGATGCTTACCTTCACTGCCTAACCTTGGCTGTCCTTGAACTCGCTCTGTAGACCAGGCTGAGCTCAAATTCAGCGATCTGCCAGCTTCTGCCTTCCCAGGGTTAGTATTAAAGGTGTGCACAAAACCACATCTGGCTCTAAGTTTTTGTTTAATTCCTTTTGACAAGTTGGAAACTTAGCTGGGTGGGATCTTGCCCTGAGATCACTACTTTGTTTATTCCATTTCTTAATCTGTTTATCTCCTTGAATACAGGACTTAACATCATTAGGCCTATTACAGCAATATATCAGTCCCAACTTCTGTCTTAGTTAGGGTTTCTATTGCTGTGATGAGACACCATGACCATGGCAACTCTTATAAATGAAAAGCATTTCATTGAGATGGCAGCTTACAGTTTTAGAAGTTTAGTCCATTATCATCATGGTGGGGAGCATGGTGGCATGCATACAGGCAGACATGGTGCTGGCTGCATCTTGATCAGAGGGCAGCAGGAAGTGGACTAAAACATTGGACAGTGTCTTGAGCATATATGAGACCTAAAAGTCTGCCTTCACAGTGACACACTTCCTTCAACAAGACCACACCTCCTCCAACAAAGCTACAACTCCTAATAGTGTGACTCCCTTTGGAGACCATTTTCTTTCAAACCACCACAGATAGGTATGGGCTCAAAAAGCCAAACGGATTGTTGAATGATAATGAAGATAACTAGGGGGGCCGAGGAAAGAAAGCATCTTTACCCTTTCATCCAGGGGCAACGGCACTCTGAACAAAGCCCTGTGTCCCAGCCTTCAGCAATGCTAAGAAAGGCACTGATGAACTCATCAGGGAATCCTCTCCAGTTCTGACCCTAAATCCTCCATTCTTCCTCAATAGTTGATTACTTTAAACTGAGACAGTGATAACATTTAGTTAAGTCATAAGATTTGGAAAAAATGATTGATCACAATGTGAAATATCAATCTAGATATGTTATTAGTTGATATTTAATATTTCACACTGTTTCCCAGTACTGATTCAGCTATAGCTACATTAAAACATTTCAAACATCTCACCAAATAATTATGTTTACGTTGTAGCCCTCCTACGTCCAAAAGGAGCTTGAATTGGTTATAATGTAGGAGGCTTAAATATGATTTAATCAGGGATAAAAGCACAAAAAGACACATAATAGAAACACTCAGGCTCTGAGGGCATATAATAATTGAGCAAAACTCTTAAGCTTCACAATTTCCCAGAACCCAAGGGGAAATGAGACATGCTGGGGTGACCTTCAGTATCAAACTTTGAAATGCTTCACAATCTGGAAAAAAAACCCTAATTTTGTTTTCTGAACCACAAAATAGATTTTTGTCTTCAAATTTTTTACATTTTGTATGAACTGGGTACAATCACATATAGCTGGAGTCCCAGATAACCTGAGAGGCTACAGTGGCAAGATTTCTTAGGCCTGAAAGTTCACAGCCTGCCAGGACAACACAGATAGACACACATAAAAAAATAAAACAAAACAAAAATTTGTGTCCATCCCTGCCAATAAGTAGGCACATAGACAACAGTCAATAATCCCACACCATTACAATGGTGCTGAAAAATTCCTGTTGCCTAGTGACAGAGAAGACATTTTAATGTAACATACCTGTCTATGACGATGTTCCTGTGAACACTTCAATGTTCTCATGCTCTCTATTATATAAAAATGTAATATATACAATTTTGTACAACATATAACACTTAGGAATAAAAATAAATGAATACAATACTGGTTTATGTATTGACTATACTATGTAGACAAATTTCTAAATGGTCTTAATAAATAAAAAAACCATGGAGCCAGAAATTTGGGTTAAAGTCCGAGAGAGAGATCAGAGGAACAGGATAAACCATGAGCTAACCTCACCTCACTAACTTCGCAGCTTCTAAAGAGAGCATGACTTCCTGTCTACCCAGGCTTACCTGCCTTGCTGTTCTGCCCTCTGATTTGCTCTCTGTCTAGCTACAGTACTACATCTTCTATTGCTTATTATTAGTTTTTTTTTTAATGTGATAGTGTGAGAATAGAACCCAGAGCCTTGAAGATGCTAAGTGAGCTCTGAGACAGCACCAGCCCCTACTGCAATTTTAGTTCCTACTCCTATTTCTTTTAGAAAGTAATTTTCAAAATGAGGTTTGACTGTAAAATATTATCTTATTTTACTCTAGCATTGGCCTCACCTATCTTACAGTATCAATAGATATGACGAATGATTGGCATATGCCATCTAGGTCTCTGTAAGTATTTTATGATACCAACCAATGATAAGTTATCAGAAAACACATTTCTCAGTGTATCCCATTATTGTGCAATGAATGACTGTGCTTCTTTTAAAAGAGGATTTCTTCTAGCCTTTTGATATCTGCTATCCAAACTGATACTGGTGATAAATTTAAAGACAGGGAGTTTCACTTGATGAAAAACTCCTGTGCCATATGATATTGATGACTTTGTCAGTAAACCATAAAACCTCAAATTCAGGGATGGGCACCTACACCAAATTAGACCAAGAACTTGAGTTTTCAAACAAAACACCAAGGCCTATAGATATCCATGCCAGAACTAAGATGTTCTTTGTGCCTCTGTTGGCAATATTCTCCAGGTTGCCAGGGTTTCTACACCCTACGGAGTATTGACTCTCTCTTGTTCCATGGATCTCCTATCCAGAATCTACTTTTTCATTTGCCTTTTTACAGACTTAAATTAGTGAGCTCATTTTCCTTTCATAAATTAAAATTGTTAACTGATAGGATTCCATGATTATATGCCATGTTTTTACTACAGTGAAAGTCTAGGAAGTACCTTAGCGAGGGACCCCTCATTGCTCCCTACTTCTCACTCAATACTCCTCCTATAGAAGATGGCCTGATCAATGAGTCTGAAAGGGATTGAGTACACACAGTGCAAACTTTAGCCCCATTTTCTTTCTATAGTAAGTGCTGCTGAAAAAAAAAAGATGTGGATTTGTTCTGTTCTATCACCAATCACTTCTCTGTGTGCCTGCTTCCCTCCCTCCCTCCCTTCCTCCCTTCCTCCTCTTTCTCTGTCCATGCAGGTGCACGTGAATGCAGGTGCACACACTTATAAAAGCCAGAGGTCAATCTCGGATGTTGTCATACTTCTTGGGTTTTGGTTTTTGAGACAGGGTCTCTCACTGGCTGATACTCACTCATCGAGCTATGCTCTCTAGGCACTGAGCCCCAGACATTTGCTTGTATCTACCACGCTAGTATTGGAATTACAAACCATGCTATCATGCCTGGTTTTTTCACATGGGTCCTGGGGATTGAGCTGTCTCATCAGCCACCACTGCTTATTTGTTAACCATTCTAGCTCAATGTAAAGGAGAGCCTCAAAAACACACATCCACCATATTAGTCTACTGTTCGTGTCCACCATGTATCCAGTCTCCTAATTAATCTACTTCTTGGTTATTAATCTGTGATTTTAGGAAAAATACTGACAAAAATAACTTAAGGGAGAGTTTATTTTAGCTTATAGTTCTAAGTTACAGTCCATCACGGTAGGAAAGTTAAGGTGATAGCCACCAAAAGGAGCTAATAACTTCAAATTCATAGTCAAGAGCAGAGAAAAATGTATGCATACATACCCCTAGTGCTTAGCTCACTATTTTCACTCATGTTCAGTCTGTGAGGCCCTGCCCGAGCAATGGTACTGCCCACAGCAGGCTGAGTACTCCACATCAATTAATGTAATTAAGACAACCCCCCACAGACATACCCACAATCCAACCTGACAATCTTTCATTGACACAAGGTGATTCTAGGTTATGTCAAGTTGACAATTAAAACAAACTGCATAATCTACAGGATCCTCTTCCGCCCTCTCCTTTTCTTCCTCTTCTCCCTTCTTCCCTACCCCCCTACCTCCTCCCTCTCTCTCTTCTCTTCCTCTCCTGAGGGACCGGACTTAAATGGAAAAATAAAACAAAATTGGCCATTTTTACAATCTTGAAAAAAAATTGTGAATAAGCTGAAAACGTCACAGATGAAAAAACAGTGGGCTGGGAATTATACAGTGTGCTCATATAGTGACACTAATTCAGTGCTTAGGGATTTTAGGAAAACAGGGTAAG